AATCTGGTTTGAAGATCTTCGCTCATCGAAAGAGAAAGAATAAAAAATACGACTGTTTTCGTAAACATTTCGAAAAATCGGAAGGACAGTTACGCTTTCAAATTGCCGCCGTATATCTGTCGCAAATGCTGACGGAGGGAACGTCTCCGCTTGGCTTCTCAAAGCGCCGTCCCTAGAAACTCTCTTTTATCATTTTAACCTATTGCACTAACATCTCACCCTTCTACTGCATCTCATTACATCGGTGTCTGACTTATTCCGCAGAATCGGAACCTTTCATTAGGGCGTTTGGCTATGCTCACCGCAAGAGTTGGGACGAAATTCCTTTAATTTTCTGTGCTGTTTCCATGGGGATTACCCTGATAAAAGGCCTACATTAAATGTATGTATGTAGGTTTAAGTAAGCATGCATTGAAAATGAAGAAGCGACATCATTCAAAGCAAATAAATTTAAAGGAAATTTTGCGTCACCTAGCTTCGGGGAAGCATAGCCATACGGCCCTAGATGCGTCGCCTAATACGTGTCCGCCCCTAGGCGCACTTCTTTCCCTGCGCTGCCCTTGTCTCCGTCCAACCTACCAGTGACCGTCCATAGAACGTGGTTTTCGTAAGCTTTTTTTTCTCTTCGAAAGATGATTATGGGGTATCCTATTTTTCACTTTCAAATCACCTAATAGCGTCTACAGTACCAATATCAAATGTGTTCATGGCGCACGCAAATGGGATTCCTTCTTCCCTTTAAAGTTTTCTGCACAAAACGGATCTAAACTTTGAACATCAATTCATGCGTATCAAATGTGGCTGAAAAACTCCTACTGCCACAACCCGTCCACATCACCTACTGCGAGAAGATGGCGACGGTCAGAAACCGGTCCCCATGCGTGCGCGGTTGCAAAGTGGCTCATAAAATTAGTTTTGGCAGCTTGCTTTTTTATTTCAGCTGATCCCACCGACTGCAGACATTCACTGCTCCCACACTCCGTGATTCAAGCTCCAGTAACAAGACAGTAATATATTATCATTGCTATTTTTCTAAATACATTTTCGTAGCTTTTTTTCCTAAGGAAAAATTGGGATAAATCGAAATAAAGCACCAAAGACAAAGCCTAGTTGAAAGCCGTCGTAATGTTCCGCAATAAATTCACAAGAACTCCGTTTCTGTTGCGAAGGCTTGGATGGAGAACTCAAGTCCGGCGAGGAGCATGTCGCAATGGTTTCCCACTCGAATTCTAGCCACGTGATCAGCGGCTTACCCAGCTTCCTCCTCCGCCCCCCATGAATTCTCCATACTCCACTTGGCACGCGTGTGAGCTAATGGCAACAATCGGTGTGCGAGATAATCGCGACACGGATTTTATCGTACCTAAAGTCACACACGGAAAATGCTTCGCTTCATCTGGATCAAAGCCCAGATGGGTATGAATCCGTAGGAATGAATACAACTCCGGAATTCGCCATTTCGATCTTCAAGTCCACGGATGTTGAAGTAACGGAACGAGGCGCTCCCTCTCATTCACGGTCTCAGGGTTAAATCTCAGTCACAAATCTTTTCGTCCCAGGCCGGCCAATCCTTTTATCGCGGCCAAGGCACACTCGGAGCGCATCGTTTTGTACTCCTACTGACTAGTAAAGGGCGCCATTCGTTACGGGTCCCACTGCCTCCTGCTACAGTGAACCCTTCAATGTGGAGCGGGGAATCCGTGAGCCAGGGGCAGTGTCGCCAGTCTAGGGGGGTGGGGGGTGAGGGCAGTCACTTGACATGCGTGAGAAGCTGGAATGTTCGAATCCAACCGCGATCGCATGGGATCCCCGCGTGGTTAAGGCAACGAATGGCGCCCTATACTAGTGAAGGAGTACAAATGATTACTCGGCCACTAGTTATGGGTAGCAAACAGACTGTTTCTACGGCCTGGTCCAGCCAAGCATGGCATACGCTAAATACATTCAAAATGTACCCCCTTATGTGCTGACAATGAAGGTAGAATGCGTGGCGCACGTCCTGAAGGACTGACTGACGCCAAAAGCTTTATCCGTATTAATAAACACTTCCGAAAAACTATTTAGATTACATGAATAATCGGTTCCACCTCGTTCCACTATTCAATGGCTTCTATCAACTCAGAGAACGTATATTGAACTCTATAGCTGCACTAGGCCTTCCAAACAGTAGCTTTCACATTGTCACTGTAGTGGGCGTCTATTTGATTTATCGCGGCAGATCGTCAGCAAATCCACCCACGCCCACAACTGGTATTGAAAAAATGAAAATATTTACCAAGAATTATTGAAAAAATGAAAATATTTACCAAGAATTATTGAAAAAATGAAAATATTTACCAAGAATAAAACTACGAAATAAAACTCAGGAATTACGTAAATGCAAATTAAATCGGCCTTAGCCTCTACAGCATTTTTAAAACTTTTCCAAATTAGCCCTTCTCGGTTTATATGCTTAAGGGTCCATTTATGAGAAATTTTACATAATGACTAAAAAATAGTATGTTCAGAAATCGCCTTAACATTTAACACCTAAACAATTCTGTATTGTCCAATTCGTAATTGTCATATGATATTTTGCAAAGCACTCGCCCCCCGCTTCATGTCCAGCGTATACATTTCGACACAATAAAATCAGTTAAGAAGGTCCAATCGCTCTTCGCGGACAGCGGTACGATCTATAGACAAACGCGCACGTGGACAGCCACCCCACTTTTCCTCCTCACAGGTCTGCCTCTTCCTTTTACCCGTTCGCGAGCGCCTCGGGATTTCCAAGAACTTGCCCGTTCGGACAGCGCGATTGCGCTATAGCCCAGGAAAAGTCAGTTTTTTCTTTTTCAGTTCCAATTTGAGTGGATGGAGATTTCCCCTGCCCAGGGCTGGCGTAGATGAATGAGGGTATGAAGATTCTTTTCAGGAAAGGAAACTTTTCAAATTCCATTTGAAACCGGCAACCACCGGTGGATGCTATTGTCCCAAAAAAGCACTTTCGTGGCATCCACCGGTGACTGCCATTGTCACGATTGGGTTAAACGAGTACATACCGTTATGTCTGTCATACCGTCTCCAGGGTACGAAAAAAAAATCACATAGAACATAACGAAAGGACCCCAGCTTTCACCTTTTTTTTTGCCCAAATTTGCTAAAACCAAAAAATAACCCCCCCCCCTCAATCAGTTCAATAGGATCTCCAGCACTTTGTGTAGGATAGGGGGTAAAACTAAGCGCAAACTGGTCTTAGGAGTCAAGACGCACGAAAAAATGAGGGAGGGCTTACAGCAATACTTCATTACTTGGAATGGAGGACAAATGCACGGCGTATCCCAATGACAATGATTGAAGTCGAGCTTTGACTTTCTCCTGGGTGTTTTACCACTTGTTTACATATACACACATAAACACCTAGCTGAATTAAATATCGAGCATTCGCTTCTCTCTGGCATACGCCACGCCACTAACGTCTGTCGAATAGTCGGCAGCAAAGCCTAAACTTGTCCACACGAATTTCCTCGTTAATCTGATTTTTTATAAATGCTCCATTACTATTTTTTAGGTGCAAATGAAGCTCTCTACGGAGAAAGCCATTTCTGAAACTTCTCCGAGCTGCCTATCTGGGTTCGTCTTCCCAATCTCCCTCTTCGTCCTCCTACGCACCTTCTGATCCCGCTGCATCAATTCAGCTATGTCGAGGCGGAACTCCTCTCTCAGGCGGCCACGACAAAAGCCTCTAATTGTATCGGTTGACGAGAGGGATGGTGGGTGCCCGGGGGAAGGAAAGAAGGCTGCTGCTGCTGCTTCGACCACATCGAGGTGGAGCCAGCCAGCCGTCCAGCCAGCCGCCCCACACATACACAGCCAGTCAGCAGCGGCCGCAATCGATCCATCCCTCATTCTCTAGCCTCCTCCCTCTCGACACACACGCACATACACACACATACACATACACAGAGAATGCACACACTATAATTATCCGTTTCGAATTAATTGAAAGAAAAACGATTCAACGGAGAAATTGGACCGGTGCAGAGCCGAAAATCAACCGAGAATAAAGTCGAAGATAAATATGTTGTAGCTGATAACTAGTCTATCCTAGGCAATGATCTCGAAGATATTTCCCATCCTGTTGTTTATCGTACGCTTCACATGGAAAGAAATACAATTCAAATATTGGGATAGATCGAACACGATCCGATACGTGACTATTCACACCAACTTCAAAGTCCTATTGAAAATGTCAGATTGAATTAAATTGAAACTCTTCGAAAAATGACAGAAACCATGGAGAAAAACAGCAAAAAAGCGATTGGAAAATTTGACGAATTATCTTGGAAAACTTGAACTATCACAAAGAACAGAACCAGTTAGTTAGGAGAGCTGTAAATGATGGAAAACTTCGTCTACAAATTTCACGAGAAAACGATCAATAAGTCAACGAAACACTTCTATACACAAACTGTGACCGTTTACTTGCACATGAAACAAGTATTCGGCGAAATTGAATAACGTCTCTACGCAAAGCAGCAAGGCGCGCATGTTATTGAACCCGGGATATAAAAATCGACGAAAATCATAATTCGAAAATTAGGAAAGGCTTTAAAAAGGAAAAAGGTTAATTGATCAAAATTGGAGGCAAAAAGAAAAAATAATAAGCAGACCTCATTTAATTTCCTGACACTAGACATGGAGTGCTGTCGCATGCCGCCACCGGCCCGCGCGATGAAACACAACGGACGGGGGGCGGCGACGAGACCAAGCAGTACGTGTTACGGTACCACTCAGCAGTACCACCACCACCGTAAGCTACTAGTGCTCGACGAGGAAGAGAATTCACAGCGGCGGGTGGCGGGTTGACCCCACAGAGAGACAGATGGAGGAGCAGTCACTGCGACAGCAGCAGCCACTAGTAAGTGTCGCGCGCGCGAGCTGGCTGGCGGCAAACGGCGGTCGTCGACGTCGTCGCGGCAATCGTCGTCGTCGTCGTTGATGATCGTGAAAGGAGCGCTTCAGAAAAGCACAACTCGCAGTGCAGCAAGCGGTTGCGGCGCGGCACAGTAGATCGGGCCCACGCACCGCGGCACCAGCACGGTCGGCTGCTTACGGCCGAGCACCCGAGTCTTCCATTCGCGCGCACGCGCCGCGAGCCGCGCGCGGCGCTCCTCTTCGTCCTTGGCATCGTGATGGTGTAGTGCCTCGTCGAGCTCTGCTGCCTGACCCTCGTCGCAATCGTCATCGGCCTCGTCGCCCTCGCCATCGGATAGGTAGCCGGGTTCCACGAAAAACGCCTCGTGATCCGAGTCCACGTCCGAATCACCTCCTGCGTCATCCTGAAACGAGCTATGATGACCACTCGGTCCATTTCGGTATTCTCAAAAGGTTATAAAGTATTACTGTGTGCCACCCACTAAGTTACTTCACCATAAAGTTACTCAGTTTACAGCTTAATCAACCTTTTTAGATGTAAAGTGTGAATTGTGATCAGAAGGTCTTGAAGGATTTCTAAACTCCTAATTTAGATTTGAAAAGAACGTGCAACCCAAAAAAGGTAACTTCGTGGAATGAATATCTCATTTGTGAGGAATTTCCAAGGTAAAATTGTCATTACAATTAAAGTTCCTGCAAGTTACGGTATTTTCGTCATTCTGTTTCGAAGTAATAGCACAAAACGCCAAGGCTAATGTTGAGCCGGAAATTACTATTTAGTGGGATCAAAATTAGTTGAGCGCATTCATTTCCCTTTCCAAATTGGGAACGATTTCCATAACTGGAAATCCATGGACAAAAATTAACGTGAAAAATTGCGCGATGATGATATCAGATTTCAAGAAACCACTTCGAATTTAGACGGACTAGGCTTCAAGAACCTTGAATTTGAACGGAATTAGCTAAATCAAAAAAAAAGGATAATAACAGTCCTGCGCAAACGCGATCATGCTACAAGACATGAAAACGGCTACACAAATGGGGGAATCAAAAGAGTAAGGGGTCGCAATACTTATAAAGATGTTTTTGGCTGGTGTTGCTTAAAAGCGAGAGAAACTGTGGAGAAGCGAGCTGCTCTAAAAGTGAGGATAAGGATAGGGGAGTGAGTTGTCTAGGTAAAATACCATCACACAATACACAACCAACCGCCGTTCTTAAAAAGTGAGACCACCCAACGTATGTATATTTCGCAACTGTTAGCTAGACTCGATATTCAATATTGAACACTACCAAATTAAGCTTCATGAGCCTCAAACCTATGGATCACTTTTTAATGGAAGCACTGATTTATCAGTACCAGAAACCTTTTAAGTTGTTCTTCCCAATCCGATTTGTGTATTTCAAAGGAAAAATGCTGAACGTATGAGAACTAGTTTATAAAATAAAAGAAAATATAAAGGGATTTTCACCTCCACTTCTTGGAAAGAGGATGGCATACGACTCCTGAAGTCTCATGAATACATTTCGTAAAGAGTATTATGGGGAAAAGGGGACCTCACTTTCTGTTGGGAAAGGATACTCCATATCCCACACCTACACCGAAGTAGTGATACACTAGGAATTAATTAAAGGCATAGCCAGGTAAAGATAGCAGAAATCGCATGACCAGGAGACTGGTATACGCGTGGGACGTGAGACACCGATTTCTACTTCATCGGTTAATCCCTTTGGTCACTGTTTTAAACTAATGCACAATCAAGGGTCATCACACGATTCTGAATGGAGGTCGAATGCCTGACACATCCTATCATTTCATACTTAACCCACGCCAAACGTTTGGTGCTTTCATCCTTTCTAGAGCTTCAGTGAAGTCGCTTCTTCAAAAAGTCCCGTTAAAACCAAAGCGGTATGGAAGAAAGCATCCCACAAGCGATTAAAGTCGAAGCTTTCCATTATAAAGTAGGCTCTCAACCTCTACTTCCAATATAGATACCTGCTAACTTCCACAATACGTCCGCTACCTTCTCTTGAGCCATAATAACATATAAAAAGTAATAAAGTAAAGCCAGTAATAAATGTATTTGGCAGCAGTCCTACTTAAGCTAACGTGCCAAAGAACTTTGAAAATATGAGATGAAAACCTCACCTCTTCATCTGATTTGCACTCTTCAGCATCTGAAGGCTCCTCTTCCCATTCAGCATCCGAGTCCACCTAAATTGAGACGCTGAGAGAAACGAAGCCAGAAACGTATTAACTATGACTGAAAATTACTTCCACACTGACAGAAACTTAATAATGAGAAGCTACAAGGGAGACTCACTTCGTAGTCGATATTCTCCTCCTTTGTAGTGAATGGACGACGTCCTGTAATCGTAGCACTTCGCGTTCTCCAAGTCCCGTAGTACGGTGGACGGTAGTTGTCGTGGAATTGGAACAAGTTTTGCTCGCATGGGACTGTAAATGACAATGTGAAATCACTGATTCACGAACCCATAGAAACTCGAAGATTCGTCTCATTCGAAGATCTATCTCGAGTCAATTGGAAATTTCTACTAGCGGTTTATCACTCCTTCGATCTAAGCGTTCCCATACCACTTGAAATATGACGTTGCTTGGAATGCTTTAAAGAGAAATCCTGCAGAAAGAAACTTACCACAACAAAATTACGTCTTACACGTACCTGCACCCTGCCCCAATCTTTCGCGCATTTATTTTAGCTTTTTTTGTTACGGGAGCGCTAGTGCTAGTTCACGAATATTTCGGTTAAAAATGCGGAAATAGCCATCAGCAAGTTTCAAGTTACAATTTTCTAATCGGCTCTCAGTCGTGCCACTCCATCTACTTCCACCACAATTGAGTAACGAGTTCTCGGGGAAGGGCTGCACCAGGTACTAAAGTGCTTTGATTAGGAAATCAAGAATCTCGGCCCTGACACTAAGTTATTTCTGATAGATGAAAGAAAACGTAGTGGGGCAGCAAACTCTTTAAATTACGCTTTTTGACCCATGTTGACAGTTGCTTCAAAAGTCCGTAATTTCCGAATCCATTCCGGAGACTTTCCGAACAATGTGTCATATAACTAGGAGCAGGAATTATTCAAATTATTGAAATGAATATGTTTCATTGCTTCAGTCTAGATCGCCTTTTTTCGATGCTTCTACACTGCTGCTCATAATGATTCCTATAGAGAAAACTGTAGACTTGGAATCATGGTGAGTAGCGATACGTGTACACCATTTCTCAGTCACATGTAGTAGATCTCTGATACAAAGACATAAATTCAAAACGAGAAAACAACAGAAGTCAGCGCATGAGTTCACAGATGGATTAGTGGTGCGATAGAACATGGTGACCCAACCCGGAAGAGTGTGAGAAGGGGCTGGATACTGACACAATTCATCTGGAAATGGTTTAACAAAGAGGTAACAGCAGAATCTCTGCTAGCTAAAAGTTATTTAAGAGATTGTTTTGTTTGTTAACTGCTGTTTTTGGCCGCAGTTCGCCTTGCGAATGTTTCACAAGAATGCTGGGTTGTGAACAAAACTTTCGCCCCAGGCGGGACTAGAACCCGCACCTCTCGCTTTCCGGGCAAGTGCGCTACCAGTTACGCTACCGGGGCACCATTTCATCCCAACTCAGCTTTCATGGTATACGTACCATAGCTTACCAGCACTCACACGTATTATTTATTCAATAGGGCCCAACAGATTAAAAAAGTGAGAAATCCCGAGTTTTCTGGGCTTCTCGGCAATTCGCCTTCTGAACCACTGTTGGATCTCTTGGCAGGGACAAGCTAAACTTCAACGAGCTGGACTTCGCAGTCACTTGTTCGTTAGAAGACAAAAGAGAAAACAAGACATAACAAAACAGTCATTCGAGCTAATATGGGAAGAGAAATTACTACAGCCAACAAGAAGCAAAGAATTATGGACGAGAAGCAACTTAAGGTCAACACTTGACTACTCAAACCCGTTCTCACAATTGTTTACATCTGGACAATTAACCAAAAAAAGAACTCACTTTCTAGGCACACCGACGAGTTTCCTCGAATTTGTTGATAATGAAGCCAAATACGACGTTTGGGAAACCTTAATAACGTTGGAAGTGAAGCAAGGCAAATTAGGAAATTCATAAAACCAAGCAAGAAGAAAGGCGAATGTCAAAGGGCAAAGCTAAGCTAGCACCCAGCAAATCGATTTGCTCCTACAGTTACGTTCAAACTGTCTACTACGCCTTTACAATCAAATAAGGCTCACAAGTAAAAATAAACCAGACAGTGGTACCCTTCACCAGCGCAATCACTGCTTCTGAATGGGAAGTTCTCACCTCAGGTCTTTGCTCCAGAATATCGTCCTCCAACTGGAGGACAGCACGCCTCTGAATCGGAGCCAAGGTCATACCATCTTTATCTAAATTTCAAGAGCTCATTCTTCATCTAACAATCATGCAAATCTTCAAGTATTCCTTGAGCAGAGATCACAAAGTAATTTGCGTGAGAAAAACTTTCAAGTAAGTGAAAGCTTCGAACATGAAATGAGTAGGAAACCCTCAAAAAAAATGTTATCAAACTCTCACTTCGAACGGCTTATGCCAAAGGTCGCATTCCGGCGTATCCACAACTTCTGGTTTTTTCTTTTCCCCTTTGCTAAAGAAACCCATAAATCGAGCAGATATGCGACGCTTCTTCTCTTCCAACGCCTAAGATATTGTAGAACTTTGCCGAAATAATTTTCATGACCGTTTTTTCGAAGTCATTCCTATGTAGAAATCTCTATAAAAGAACG